AAGGTCTTCATTTTCATCTCTTTTGGCAAATATAAGATGGACCATTTGGAAAGAGAATTTGAGAAGTCATTACTACAACCAAGAGTTCTTATGTAATACTTGGATGATTACTTTTCACTTTTATCGAAGATATGAAGATCAAGATTGTGTGGCCCCTGATATGGTCGCAGTCTTTTCTATTTATAAAAATTGGTTGACCTCGTTGTTGCATTTTAGTGTTATTGTTGGTGAGACTTAATAGAACGCACCTTGCCCGAAGTCCTCTGCCATAGTAGGTATCATAATTCCCAGCATCAGACCGAAGATTTGGTACATTCTCAGACGTTTCGCCGGCATCGTGGTCGGCATCATCAGTGAGTTCTGCCATTCTCCGCACCAAACTACAAACTCTTAAAAGAGACAAGTTAAGTTTATCCCTTGATCAACGTTTTGCCTAAACGGTTACACTCTCATTCCGCTTTTAATCCTGGTCCATCTATCAAATATTTTCCCTCTAATCAAACTCTCGCCTTATCACAACTTTTAACTTGTTTACATTCCACTCGTCAAAATGTGTGCCCTTTTGTGGCAAATCTAGTTTGGCCTCATCACAACTGCTATTCACCCCGTCTCTTTCGATCAGCTAATCCGACTCGGGCCTCCTATCTGAATCTCCTTTATAGCCCTGTAGATGCGTTTCTTATCTTTTTTGATGACCGATTTCACTCTGTTCCAGTCCCAGTGTGAGTTTTACTTCAGACGCTATTTCTTAGAGCCTATGCCGCCTCACAGAGCAGAGCGCCTAAGCTCTCAGTCATTGCCTTTACGGGTCGTCTCCTCGATTAAACCCGTGTTACCTGAGAAAACTGTGGACGCCTATCTCTGGTCGCATTCGTCATCTCAAGTGAAGTTCTAGTACATTTTGCCTATAATGTCGAATTTCTGTGACAGATGTGCTTATCCATCGACCTGGTTCCTTGACTGACAGGTTCGGAAAGTTGTACTGGTTTACTTTTAATAGACATCTCTCACTGATAAATACTTCGCTTGATTTCCGAAATTTCTCCATACTCTTTTTTTAATCGCTATCCATTTTACTCCGGTTAGCGATAGATCCCTGATCCATGTGTCTCCTTTTTGTTAGTCTTGCTCTATTCGTGTTTTCCCCGAGTTTGCTTAGGCAGTAGGCAAAGTAATCGCTAACTCTACCTTATTACAATCTCCTGTTCATTAGATTTTTCTCTCCAAGGATTCCAATGATCTTCTTAATCTTCTGTTTTCTTGTGTTGTCATCGTATGAGGCTCGTCTTTCTGTTGCCTTCCAATTTATCTCGTGTCCAGTCTGCTATGGGTTCCGCTAATTCTGATCCTTCGGTATCCATTTCCATGTAGAGCCTTTAATGTTCCTTTATTAGTATGCTAATTTTTTTCCCTGTTTCGCCAATATATTTCTGTCTGCAGGCGCCCCATGATATACAGTAAACCCCTGAACAATCCTTTCATGTTGCGTCGGTAGACTTGTGAAATAGTTGATATTTCTTTAATTTCCACCCGAATATTCCATTTCCTTAATGTTGCTCGTAGCAGATTTCGACTCGGATTTTATGTAAATCCAATCAGGAATCAGGAGGACAACCAAGTGGATGTGCCTGCCCTCCAGTAAACTGAGACAATGATTGCTAAGGTTATAAAAGAAATCAAATATTAAGGTGATAACACAAGAAAGCCAACACTATCCGTCAGCTTGCCGACGTAATACGAGAAGGTTGACAAACAGGATTTCTAGGGAGTGGATATACCTGCCTTTCTGCGAACTAACTCAAAAACTACGTCCAATATTGAGTAAATGGAATATTCAAGTGGTCATGAAGGAGAAATCAACACTTTTCGCCAGTTTACCAACGCAACATGAAAATATAGACAAATTGGACTGTTCGGGACTTTACTGTATATCATGCGGCGGCTGCGGACGGAAATATATTGGCGAAACAGGGAGAAAAATCAGCACATGAATCAAGAAATATCAGAAGCTCTGCAGTAAAATGGATACTGAAAGATCAGAACTAGCGGAACAAATCGCACGAACTGGACACGAGATCAATTGGAAAGCAACAGAAAGGAAAGCTCCATACGGGGATAACACAAGGGAGCGGAAGATTAGGGAGGCCATTGACATCCTTGGGGATACAAATCTAATGAACAGGAGATTGGAGGAAG